CTACTTGCATGAGCTCTACATAGCCGCGCCTACGGTGGCGTAGTATACATCGAAAAAAAAGCGATGCCAAAGGGGAAAGTTTCCAATTCAGTTCAAAATACATTCCGATCAAAAGGGGGAAAAAGGAGAAAGTTGGGCATAAGATGAAGGAGACCCACACGCAATGAGCGGGCGGTTTGGAAATGGTCTCTGCTCAACAAAATAGTCATGCCTCACTTCTGAGGTAACAGCAAAGAGCGAAAACAAGGATAGAAGTGAGAGATAATAGGCGAAAACCCGCCCACAACGGGCGAAGCGGTCATCGGCTAAATTCTGTCACTACGAGCTTCATAGCCAGCTTCCAAACGGCCTCAAGGCCTGGAAAAAATAGGGGCTAAGGAAGGGGAGGTCAAATGCTCAAGGTGGGCGGAGCATACACCGAGGTGGGAAAATTGTGTGAGGGAACTTGCATGGCGACTAGTGAAGTAGGCCTCTTCAAATGATCATGGCAAGCACGAAATGCACCGAGAGACGAGTCTAAAACTAAGAAATGGTGCTGCCTACATCCATACGCCGAGTTCCCTTGTAACGAACGCGTTAGTGTGAGAGTAATAACGGGATAATCAACAATCGGGTGCAAAAGGGGCTTTCACGTTTTTATTCGGCAGAAGAGCATTGAAGCAAAACTAGGAATCTTCCGTTATGTCAACGACTGAAAAATGGATTTACAGTGGAGAGAGCACTGTGTTTCCAGAAGCCATCGCTGGAAACTTGAATGTATCCTTCCATTACTAATCCAAATTCCCATTCCTCCTTTTGTGCTTTCAAACTCGCCCTCCAAATGCGAATGCATTAAAATCCACTTTTATACTTTATTGAAGCCTCTCCAAGATTGTAGCACTTAACAAGGCTGACGTATCGACTTTCCTCGCCTTCCTTCTCTTTGACTTTGAGTACACCTGAAGAGGGCGAAGAAAGCCGAAACGTCAGCCTTGTTAAGTGCTACAATCTTGGAGGGGCTTCAATAAAGTATAAGTCGCACTCTCGTGTACATGCATACCTGAAACGACCGGCCTCCAGTTTCTCTAGGCTCTCCTGAGTGGTAGACATCTTGTTTGGGGACTTCTCCTCCGACTTCTCATCGTTGTCTACGAACTTCTTTTTCCGTTTCTTCTTCTTTTTCTTTTTTGCACTAGATTCCACTGTCTCTTTTGATAATACCTTGAACGATCTGAAGAAAATAGCTCCTTACCACTCGTTTAGTAAATCGGAAAAAGCTGATGTAGGACTGCCCACTGAGTATATGATATTAATCAGGTGTCCTCCTTACGTGCTTCTTCGCACTTTGTCTGTGCAGTGGCAAACGCTCTTCTTAACCCGCCAAACACGCATCTGCCACGATCATAATAATTGCGCGCGAACCCTCTACTCCCTCCACATCCCTAGGCTCATTGATTCTGAGCTGGACTTTCACTTGACCAGCCTATCGTAAAAATGAGGCTCAACTTGCCCATGTTGGTCCTGGAACGTCAAAAAACCGTGGAAAGATGGTGACACTCTATGGGGAAGACTTTGCTTTTCTTAGATCGATTTTATTGTGTAAATAAACTTCAAACCCTAGTCTGAAATTATGTTCTGATCTGCAGTATGAACAGAACATCAATGTTTCAAGACCCCAGTTCTGGAAAGGACTTTTACATATTCTCAAAATCCCGAGGGCCCTTCAACGAAATGGGCTTCGTTCCTATTTTCTATGCGCGCTTCCAGAATATGTTCGACATATGAAATCTTTCCAAAAATGCGCTAAATGTACTACACGATCCATTGGAAGGGGAAATATTACCTTTATGGGTTTTGCAACACCGAGTGGAACAGTGACATCCGGCTGGACCTCTGACTTTTTCAAAGACTGTTTCTTCACCATTGCAGCCTATTACAAATCTATTAAGTTGCTTAGGTGGTTAGTGTTTTCCATCAATAGAAAAGACCAATATACTATGCCGAACGTAGCATATTAGCATGTCCAGGCCAGATAACAATAAAATTTCATTGAATTAACAAGACAACAAATCGAGCAACATCCATGCTAAACAGATAACAAACCACACGGTAACAATATGGACAAACGTTTCATATATGGCGCGAACAGAGTCGCGTAGATATTTTTCATGAGAGCCAATATCGGAAAACATCATAACAAAACAATTATCTACGAGTTCTTTTTTATCCATATCTTGATGTTCAAGTATGAGAAACTGTAGGAATACAGAGCCATTACAATTATCTTCGGTCCGTTTTCCCCATCTTCCGCTTTCCGCTGAACAAATGCTTGGGTTTCAAGTCGTATACATGTCTATCAGCCTCTCCCTTCCTAGCCTCACGCTTCAAGTGTTGCAGTGCCTTCGCGCGGAGTTTCTCAGCCTTCATCCTCTTCTGAAAACGTGCAGCGTTCATAATAGTCTAGCTATCAGTTCGAATTAAATAAATGAAAACCACTCACAGCCTTGTCAGGAATACCCAGTTCATCTCTTGGCGGTGGACGTGATGCACTCAAGCTTGGTG